TCCAAGTTGCAGGGTGACTTGTCAGTTGAACCTTTTCTTCATTCCAGCCAATTTCATGTATAATTTGTGTGAATCTTTTTTTGGGTGGATGTTGATAGCTCTGCTACTACCACAAAATCTTCAAATACATTGTAGACAGAAATTAATGATGTTTGAAGGGATGAAGTAAGTAAAACAGAAAAAAGATGTGTAGTGTAGGCAAATCAGCTAAACCAATTTTATTTCAGTTCTCATTGAAAAGCTAAGTTAAATTGGGCCAACTTCTCCTTCTTATGCATATTACCAAGATGTGCCGTATATCATCTACTTTATTACTGTTTCAAGCCAGATAGTGTACTGTGTTTCTGGGTTCTTCTACACTTTATGAAGATGTGGGTGTTCATTTTAACAAAAAAAAAAAAAGAGACAGAAACATAGAACAAATGAAAGGTGTCAGTCAGTATTCCTTTGAGTTTTTCACATAAAGCGCCTAGAAATGTCACAGTCATACAGCTGTGGGTTTCTTTGACACATTTGTTTTTGTTGGTACCTAAGTTACATGTTACCAGGCAAATAATAACTAGAAGTTAAACTGTTTCAGTTGAAAACATGTAAGGAGTTGTATGTGGATTACCACTACCATTCAGTAACAGGTGATGCAAAGGGAGAGGGGTGGGAACATGTTTTAAATATTCCCTTTTAAAAAAGAATTGTAAATAAGCAGTACTGTGTTATTTTAGACCTGAGCTCTGCTGTCTGTAGTGGTTAGAACTAGGAAAACATGCTGCTTTACAGTTATGCTACTGTTTCATTGTACTGGCACCATGGGAGGGGGGAGAATAAAAAAAAAAATCAGTAAATTTTTCAAACATTGCCCACTTGTGGGTAAGCATGCTTGATGTGTAGCAGTTCTCGTTTATGTATATCTTAGTGTGTACATGTGTGTTTTTTCTTTTTGTTCATTGCAACTTATTCTTCAGTTAAGTCTTGCTGAGCCCCACTAGCTCTTCTGAGGGTGATTACTGGAATATGCATTTTAGGTAGGGTTGCAAATCCATCTGT